GATGGAGCTCGTTAGCCCGTAAGGCAATCCATCTACGTCCTGAGGACCTCACTGCCACCGTCCAAGCGTGCTTGGCCCCGGCAGATGAACCTCAGGATTAAAGGGTGGGCTCAGTTCTGCGCACACTGTGTCTCACCTAAAAAATCCAATGCGCAGGCTGGAAGGTGGAAAGACCTTCCCCGGTTCTTCATTCGCGAAGAGACTGGCCATTACATTACATTACATATATAAAAATAGTTTTTGGAAATCATACTGGACATGTTCATGGGACAGCACACCACTCTCACCCCTGTCAGACTTCAACAGGGATGGAACGTACTCATGAAGCTGTAAGAGGGAAGTGTACAGAGAGACAAGAGGCTGTGGGGTACAGTAGGAACAGATGAAGGTATGGTAGAATTAGTAAAGTTTCACAATCAATGTAACTAAGCACATCTACTCTGCAAAGGTCACAGTTGAGGCATTCACAGGTGATAAAATCTTTCAGATAGGTAAGTCAGTCAAATGGATCTTGAAATTCTCTGATATTAGCTCTTTTCTTGTTTGGGGTTGTTTCAAGGAGTGGTTTTTCTTGCATCTGTGCTTAGTTGGTTGTTGCTTGAATCAGGATGTGTGTTTAAGATTTGCTGCAAAGCTCATTTGGCTCTCTGCAAGATCCTGCAGTTTATTCAGTGAACACTGATTTAGGCCCATTTAGCATCTGGGACAAAAAATGTAAGTACAGATAATGCTGAGTCATGCCTTTGACCTGCTGGAACAACTCTCACTGCCTTGAAACTCGCCCTTACTGCTATAGCTGTCTCTGTTTCTCTCGCTGCAAACATGAATGATACCTGTCTTGTAAAGCATTCTGAGATCTACTGTTGTGCTGTGTTTTTTGTTATTATCTCTGAATTGTGTCCAATAAATTTTCATTAAGTCTTCCCCAGAGTTTGACCCCCACAGAGTGCCAGTGGGAATGTTCTCGAGGATCTTCTTTCTGTTCACACAGACCTGACATCAGACAGTCCAATAGCCTTGGTGCAACCAAATATCCATTGCCTTTCCTCAGGAAAGGACTGAGGGATCTTGGGTCAGAAATGGTCAAAGGTATTGTTGATGCATTCAGCTGCTGTTACAGAGCAGTAAGTTCACTGAACTATTATCTGTGTCGTATTCATACAGCAATGATTAAAGTCTTACACTTGGCTGAGACATCAAATCTGACATAGGTTAGCTTTAAAAATTTCTGTTGCAAAGATCCACAGATGTTCATTTGTTTACCTGTTCCAAATAATGGGAGTAAAACAATAGGTCTTGAAATATAGTTACTGAATATGTTTTTAATTTTGTACTATTTAAGCTCAGGTTATCCTCCAAAAAGGGTTTAACCTAAATGAACCTTCTCTACCAACAGTAACTCAAGCAATTTGAATAATTACATAAATGGTTTTCACAATCATCTGCTCCAAGATGAAAAGGTTCACCTCTCTATGTATAATTTCTGTATTAGCCATCTGATACAGAAATGAGCCTCTCTGAGTCACACAGTATCAATCTGAGTTTGCTGCCCTGGAAGCAAACAGGAGTTTTTCAATCAGAGCTGACATCATTAGACAACTGAGAAAAAACCTACAAACTCTGTGCATGCTGAACCTGCTGGGTAGAGAAGGTGGGTGTTCAGTGGTAGGTACTGCTGAGGCAAAGGTTCTTTTCTTCATTGCTACTACTGACCTCTTGCATGGGACCTTCTTCCTATGAGTGAATTGCATTGATTAGCCACTGTAAAAATCTGAATGGCAGCCTGTGAAACCCAGTTCTGTCTCTGTTTAGATACTCCTGCCAGGCAGAAAAGCAGAAATCTATGTTTGTTCTTACTTCCCTTTCTAATTTTGTCTCCTACCATGCCTTTTTTATGGTGTTAATTAGGGTATTACAGACTAACCTGCAAACCGTAATGTGCAGAGAGAACAGAAGTTACTAATTTCAAAATAAAATCCTTTCTCTCTTTCTTTTAAAAAAGCCAGCATAGTGGAAAGAAGTAGATTTGATGGCTGACTGTAATGGATTCAAATTATGATGAGTGTTGAACGAGCTGCCAAGCTCTGTACATCCCTCAAGATTTGTCTTTGGTAGCCAGTTGGCTGGCAAACTAACCCTGTTATGTTATTGTCCTGAAAGTTATATGTCTTGTTGCTTCACTAAGCTATGATATTGTAAAAGGTTCAGGAATATAATTGGAATAGGCTTGAATGCTCTATTTAAACACATGTAAAAGGTACATGGATTTGATCTGGAATCCAAATCCATATTTTCTGACTAACCTGTTTGTAAAGGGTTGGTCACAGAGAATTTTGAGAGAAATGAAACTGTAGACTTGTTTTGCATTTGCTCTCTTTTATTTTTGCATCCTTCCATTGGCAGTGTTTTTGTGTTCTTTTTGGATGCTTGCAGAGGCAGCACAGCCCTCTCTGTGTTTTGTTTTGCAAGCTGTTCTTACTGACAACTTCTGTTTTTCATTTTCTGAGTCGTCTGAGTCATTAGGCTTATCTTTGTGTGTCAACTGATGTGCATAGTGATGCTGAGGCAGAGTAATCCAGTACTTGTACTTGACATTTGTCATGTCAGGCACTTCTCAGCATTGCACATGTAAATACAATGAGATTTTGCAAAAGCAAGACTTCATTTGCCTGAGTTTGTACTCTTTCAAACCAATTAGACTTGAAATTCTCCCCACACTATACAGGCCTCTATATTGTATATATTTCTTCATAATTTTCTTTTATTTTAAAATTACACCCAAGAAACTTAGCACATTTTTGTATTCAAAAGAGTATACCTGTGAAAGATTATGAAGGAATAAAATCTATTTCTTTGCCATACTCTATAATTTTTTTGTTGTTGTTGGTAAATGGCAAGCTATTTTTAAAAGAAAATCTTACTTTCTGAATATTTTTTGGGTTTCTTTTTGCCATGCTTATCCCACAGAGATTTCATGCTGTGAAAGATACCCTTTAATTATCTTGCTGTGTGGAAGCTGCTTCTTGGAAATGGATGGTGCAATACGTGGTAATATTTAATTTCTTGTGATCTGAGTTGAGATCTTGACTTGGGTAAAAGCTAATGGGAAGTTTGTAGACTGGACAGTAAAGCAAAGGAACTAATTGGTTTGAAGGGAGAACCATCTCTTTGAAGAGGATACTAAAGTGATAATAGGTGATAATTCAGCAAAATAGGTGTATTCACTTTTTCTGACTGAAGTAAGTAGAGAATTGCTCACAGCTGCTTTTCTGCTTTTATATTTGTTATTTACCTTGAATCCAAACTTTACTTCTAGAGGAAACCATATTTGCCAGCAAGGAAACATAGTGATGTTGTTCAAGGTTGACACGTTGTTCATGGCTACATTTGCCACCTGTTAAAGACTTTCTGAAAGAAAAATGTTCCCTCTCTCAGATTATTCCACTTGTAAAGGAAGATAAAAACGCACCATTTGTTGATGTGGCAAACTTTGAGCAGAAGGGAAAGTAATTTACGGTAAATTTCTACACTTTTTTCCTAAGGCAGATCTTCCACTACTTGGAAGAAGATAGGATAGAATGGTGGATGCATCTACTTAGAC